GATATTGCACAAATAATTCAAGAAATGTCAGTAAAAACCAAACAATTTCTTTTCATCGGTTAAGAAGATACTTAATCAATAAAAAAGTATTATAGATTAATAATAAAACAAATTATTCCTAAGACGCCATCTCGTGTCATGGAATATATATTATGAAATTAATATGTTCAGATGCGACATTTCTGTGGGTACTTAAGTATAGGACGAATATATTACTATACACATTTTTTTTGTATAAACATATATAAGTTATAGTAATTAGGCTAAATTTTTTATGTTATTATATTTATTACTATATTTCTGCCTATTATTCTTTTATGTTATTTTTAGGTTTCCACATCAAAGTCAAAGTGGAATAAATTCGTCCATTTTTAACTCCCGCGTGCCCAGCATTTAATGAACGACTCTTATTCTAATTTAAATAAATATATTTGTAAATTAAATGTTATGTCAATAAGTTTTGAACATACATTTAGTATGTTTTTTTATATTTGGCATAGATACCTTTTAAAATATTCAGATAAAAATATCATTAAATTTTAATTGTGATATAATATTATGTAATATTATATTAAATAAGCAAATATAATATACAAAATAAATAACAAAATTTAAATATTGTTTTCGATATAATTTACCTATTTAACAACACAATCTACTATTACCTACGGATCATTCTACCTATATTTATTATATGATAAAAAAACCAACCGCGCGAACACAGAGTAGCGCACATTTTTTGTTTGAGATACTGTTCTAGTACCCACGTAAGTACATATTACTTCAATGTTATTTTATAAATTTATTTCGTACCTGCATCTGCTTCAATCTGCTAATAGACTGTAGTAAAAGTCAATAATGTCGAATATATTTTTTTAAAATTACTAGCTCTTACAACTAGCACTGGATTAACATTTGTTGTAAAAATGAGTAATCGAAATAATCATGCATTTAGACTAGGTTGGATAGATAAGTTTCTTTATAGGATAGGGTGACAAACGAGCACATAGTTCACCTGATGGTAAGTGGTTGCTGCGGCCCATGTACATCTATATCTATCCTCGAATACGGGTCCAAATACAGATGCGTTGTCACCCGCGAGGACTAAGATAGAATGTCTCGTTTTCAGTAAAATAGGTCTCCGGTTTCGGTTTCGATTCTCCGGGATTAGATTAGAATGGTTCTCCAGCACCTTAAAAGTGGCAAGTCCTCGGGCGAGGATGGAATTGACAAGGGGAGCTTCCCCCCTAACAAACCAGTTTTCGAAAAGGCTTTAGCACCGTAGAACACATATATACACATACCCTTCGGGAAATTGTACTGAGTTTCTCTGCGTGATAAACTTAGGAAGGAATGAATGAAATGACAATATCTGAAGTAGAACCAGAGCGACCGACATAGCCCAACGGATTAGTAAGCTGAAGTGGCAATGGGCCGGCTATATAGCTCTATGGCTAGGCTATGCCGTATATGGCTAGCCGGCTATATGGCTAGGCAGGCGAAGTGTAGGGCGTCCCTGCGCTAGATGGAGTGACGACCTGGTAAGACATACAGGAAGTCGATGGATGTAGGTACCTCAGGATTGTGCTTTGTGGCATTCCTTGGGGGAGGCCTCCCCCATAGGAGTGATATTTGCCACAGGTGCCACGCTTGGCGGGCGGGTCGGCAACCGCAATTCTCTATTATTTTGAGCTGTTATCAGGAAGATGCTACTACCCATATCCTATTTTAGTTTCCTCTATCGCCTCTCAGGACACTTACGGGATGGTGTGGAGTAGTAGATTAGATTCTATCGCGCCGCCTCGCAGTCTGCACGGTGCTTCGAGCGTAGTTTGTATTTGGTATATTAGATTACGTTTTCAGATTAGTTTTCCATTAGTTAAGTTTTATTTGTAAAATTTGTTTGTAGTAAAATTTTATTTTGAACTTTTAATAATTTAATAATTATTATTAATTTGCAGTTTGTGGGCGTGGATTAAAGCATCAGCGGTCCCGCTCAGCATGTCGTTTTCAATCCTGGGATTCTTTCATTGGATGATAAGGAAAATGGAAATCTAAGTTTTTATTTATATACCAGCAACCCGCCTCGGCTCTAATAATGAGGTGTTATCAGATTAAAGATAATCAAAGACCATTTATCTAATCAATTTTTCGTTTTTCTTTTTAAACCAAGTTTTTCGTAAAAAATATAGCCACCTAGACACCTCTTGGAAATGCTCTTTGTTTGCAAAGTTTCATCACAATCTATTTTTAGCCATTCCGAAGTTAAGCTCGGACAGACTGACAGACAAAACTTAAAAAATTGGTTATTCATATAAATAAACATGTATGTAAATAAAGCCACTGTGCTTCATAAAAACCAACTGTAATATTTAAATAAAAATATTAGATATAGACATACACTACAGTTTCTTATATGTATATATCAAAGTCAAAACTCATAAGTCGTAACCGATCAAAAACACTTTTGATTGCGAAAATCAGGCAAGAACTTGCCGTTTAGACCGATGCCCTTAATCAAAAACAGTTTTGACAGATTTTTTATACTTAGTCAAAAGTGGTTTTGACCAACGTTCTTAATCAAAAATGGTTTTGGCTGCTTTAAAGTGCAGACGATCGGTCAAAAGACGCAATATCACTGATAGTAGTAGTAGTTCTAAGTTGTGGTTGGGGTGGCTCATGAGCATACCACGAGCCGCGTATATTATAATGTTATAACATATAATTCTGAACGAATTAAACTTTATAATTTTATTTCAAAAAGTATAATCACTATTAACAAAATCACAGTCAATATATATATATTATATATATTAATATATATGTACAAAACACAGTACAATAAACAACCATTATTGTTAATACGATGTTATAACATTAAAATATTCAAACTTGCAGCTAACAAAACAAACAATGTGCGGCGCACTGACCCTGAGATTAGTCAACTAGTTGCGCCAGCGTAATCGGTTTTTCGCCGTGTACGCGACGAGCGGCCAGTGGTCACGCACACATGCCCCGCGTGATTGTAATAGTGCAACCGGTTCGCGCGGTTTTGCAGTTTGATTCATATTTGAGGATAGATGTAGATGTTAATGAGCCTCAGCATCTACTTACCATCAGGTGGAATGTGTGTTTATTTGTCACCCTGTTACCAATTTAAATTGTATCTTAAAGATTTAATAACTTTTAAAATCATTGTAAAATATATATATTTTTAAATGAAACAGCGAATATATACAAAAAGGCACGTTGCATACATATGGTTACTAAGATACTAGCTTATATCCCGTCATCATCCAATTTCGTGCTTATTCTTCTACATTTTACCAGATTTGGAGCAACCTTTTGATAGTCCAAAATGAAATATAACTGATTCGTCGTTGATTTCACTATAACTTTCAACCAATGTTAACCATTTATTAAGTAAGTATAATTATACCATTTATAGAGTAACTATACAAGTACATCTTTTGCCAGCTTACGCATTTGTTTTGGTAGTAAATAATCAAACGAACTACATATATTGGATTTAGTGTTTTATTTGAAGGATTTTTATAATAATGTAAAATAGTTAAACTTGCTTATCCTATACAATTAATATATTCATTAGTCTTTCATTTATATTACGTTGTGTGTAAATTTAGTATCTAACTGTAGTATATTATATATCATTGGTATTGTATTGTTTGCTACACATGCCAATGAACTCTGAACGGAAATGGAAAAGATTTTTGATAAATTATTTAAAATGTTAAGTAAAATATCAAAATTAGCACCCAACATTGATTATACATTGTGCTTACATCACATTTCTCTAACATTTACTCGTTAGCGTCAATGCATGATTCGGTTATGATATTTTGGCGTTTATAACTTTTTAGCAATATAAGAATAATGTTAATCTTCAAAAGATTTATATCACAAGTATCTAAATCAATATAAAATTAGTTAAGATAACAGCATTAAGTATGTAGTCTATGGTTTATTTAATTATTATTAAAATAAATGCATCGAAAAATAACGGTGTATGGTGTTGATGAGTAGCGCAAAATCTTTAATTATTTTTAATTAATATAAACTTATTTTTGGAATGCATTAGACAACTATCTATGATTGCTTTCTGATATAATAATAATTGATGTATAATGTAAAAAAAAACATATTTGATAATTCATAGAAAATTGGAATTATTAAAGTTGAGAGTAATAAGTGTCAAATATGGACACTGGTATTAAAGGAAGGTATTCAAACTATGCTAGTATTGTGCACAAGCTTAGATTAAAATAAATTTTACTGTTGACAATATTTTGAAATTGCAGAGGCCTATTTTCATTTCATTTTACGTTTAATATAATTAATATCAACATTATTTAAAAAAAAACATAAGTACCACTTTGTTTTATTGATTCTCATAATCTGTGTATTTCTACTCGTAGTTCTCTTAATCCGAGTGTCATTGGAAATTGTGATATGCCGTTAATAATACAAATTATTCCCTAACTGCATTATATTATATATCATACAAGACAGTTAGGTAATAATTTCAATAGTCAGTAAACCTAATCCTATCGTGTAGGATTAGGTTTACTGACAATTGAAATCATATTAGGTTTAGGACAGCTGTAAGTAGTACAATATTGCTGATCTACTGTAGAGTCGGTGTACGGTGCTGTCTGTACTGCGGGGTCTGTCTTTCGTGACAGGAGCTTACAGAAATATTATTGCGTGTGGGAAATATGACAAAACTATGACAGTTTATTTTGTACATACAATATCCACTCGTTTTCAAAGTATTAACTCGCAAGGTTAGTATTTTTAAGTTTTTTTTTTTTAGATATATACCATCGTATAAGTACACATTCAAAAGAAATTAATATTTCGAATTTCTTCGATATTTTTTACTTAGAAATGAGTTGGTCTTTGAGTTGTTGGGTACAAAATAAACTGTTATAGTTCCCATACATACGATAATGTGGTAGCGGCCTAAGTTGCGGCTGCAATCAAGCATCGGCGGTAGCATACATTAGTGGAGCAGTTGTCAGGCTACCGCAGCAGCAGCAGCGTGCAGAGAGCGAGCGCGAGGGCGAGTGCGGGTGCGGGCGAGCGCGTGGGCGGCGCGGCGTCGGGTGAGTGCGCGTGCGCAGATCGAGTGCGTTCGCAGAGCCGTGTGCGGGTGCGGGGCCGGGCGCGCGCTGCTGCGCTGCCGAGCCGCACGCGCGTTCGCACGACGCCCACGCGCGGCACACCGAGCACGCGCTCGCCGACACGCCCGAGAAGAACACGCGTGCGCGGTGACCTGCACATGCATACGCGCTTAGCACTTTAACACTCGCCCGCAAATTTTTCACCTGTAGTGCTAGATAATTACTAAGATCGACCCCACCTTTGTTGTGAACAAGCGGTAAAATCCATCATCCTATTTCATCTCGCGCTTATCGTAAGGGGCGATTAAAGTAAATGCCAGATGGCATGGCTTTCGATAGTGACATTTTGACAAATAAAAACCGGCGAGTAGCATCAAAAGTAAAAGAAAAAAGGTACTGTTTTTGCCAATTCCCTTCCAAGCTCAGCCATTTTTACAAATCCCTTCTATAATGAAAGGGGCCCATTTCTGATAGTGGACTGTTACTGCTACTGATAAAAAAGAGGCGTTTCTTAAAAATCCTACTAGATAGGAAACGGAATAGATAGATACCATGTTTTACATTTCTTTTTTTAATGTTGTTCCAAACATTAAGGGCCTGTACTACCTCAGATCAAATTCTAATTTCTCCCCCACTTCCCCGCGCGTCGTATGCTATGTACCGACATGTTTGTAATCACTAATACTGTAAGTATATAGGTCGTTAGATACGTATTTCACTAGGTTTATCATATTTATGCCGGTTTCTTTACGCCAACCCAGTTGCTTCTTATTTTTATTAAGACTATTTCCCATTTTAATTTTACGTCGTCCTATTGCGTAATGTATATTCTGATCGTAAGCGACATAACTTTCCCGTTAGAAAGCCAAAGAGAGACTGATGGGGCGAACAGGCTTCAAGATCAAGACGCTAGTTTAGGTAATTTCTTTTTACAGTGAAAATAATGGTAATTTAAAAAAATAAAAAAACATAAGTCTGCTTTATAGTTAGTTCAGTAAGTATGCAAAGTTCCATGATGTAATTTAAAGTATTTTATGAATACCAGCGATTTATTGATCAGTTTGGAGGTAACTTTGGATTTTTTTTTCTATCGAGAAAACTTTAGGGAATCGTGTTTTCGTCTAACATTGTACTTAACATTAATTCTCAAATTTACCATAATATATTTATTTCAAAATTAATGCTGCGATATTTTCGGCATAACGGAGGATCTTGCTAAGCCATTTGAGGTAGAATAGGCCCTTAATTTTTCACTATTGCCCCTTAAATATAAGGCAAACGTTCAGCTCTTACGTCACAGACATAACTTTTGTATTAAATGTATGGAGTAAATATTTCTGCTTCTATACACTATATTTACTATAGTCAACCAAATCTAAGAAATACCTTTTGACGTTTAACATTAATCATTCCGCTACAACTTTGAACAAGCGTACTCACACAATTAAAAATTACCTTTTAAGTAAATCCGAAGAATTATAAAGTTATCTATATTTCATTACAACGTGTATAGTTATTTATCACTAATTTAAATTCGAATCTTTCGAACAAAACAAAATATTAAAAAATAACCTAACTTTTTCACTTGACGTCGTTTTAATGATATGTCGCTCAGAACCTTACCTTAGTGTTTGGATGGTTAAAATTCATTGTTTGCAAATAATAGGCAATAATATTCAAATAATCGGCAAAAATATTAAAATAATGTAATCATTAATTTTTTATGTATTATTTGTTTAATTAAATTATTATTTATAAAATCCTTAAATAACATGAATCATGAATAAAACAAGTTTATTTTTTTTATTTTGTCAACGTAAAATTGTGTAACAAAAAAGGCCGCGCTGATAAAACCACTACGTAATTTCAATCTCCCGCCATTTCGGGTGCTTACTGTGCGTTATTTTATGATTTTGTGTTTGTCTTCTTATTTTGTGACCCAGCTTTAACTTTTTTGACTGTTTCTTCTATATTCGTTGAAGCATGTGCCCGTGTCACAAAAGCCGAATGAGTAAAAGAGATAGAAAAAAAAAACAAAAAAATTGATTATGTATGACTTTGAAAGAGACATTAATTTTAACTGCATTATAGGAAATCAAATAATAATTAATCTATATAACGACAGCTCAAGTAGTTGTACTTAAAGTGATTAAATAAATTTATTTTTAATCTAGTTTCAATCTTAAATTTTTGTAACTTTGCCTGTAGAAATAAGCAGTAACAATAAATACGAAGAAACTGATAAACCTTGTTTTAATAATGATTTCTTATATTTACGAGTACGCGAACACTATACATGATTAAAACTACTTTTACGGATTTTATCGCGTTTATTTTTACTTTTTATTTACTTTTATTTTTAATTCCCGACGTTTCGGGCGCTTTCCAGCACCCATGGTCACGGGGGACTGAGATGACTGACGTCCCGATGTCATTGTTAAACCCGGAGTACCTTCAGCTTTTTTTAATTATTGTTTATGGTCCGATCTATGCAAAATGAACTGACTATGTCCTGAGGTCTTGCAGTGGTATGCTTGGGTTTAGTTTTAATTTTATTGATTATAGGATCCCAAGCAGGTGGTAGTACCCAGCCTCCTTCTCTATTGAAATTAGGATGTTTTTGAATTTCAATAGCCTCACGTATCATCCTTGGTAGGAATCGGTGTTCTTTCGCGAGGATTTGTGGTCTACCAAATCTGATGTAATGGTTGGGTCCGTCTAGGATATGATCACAAACTGCAGACTGATGTGAAGCATCAACGTTCCGGGAAGTCTGCAGTTCTGTTTTTTAGACAAGATAAAAAATTACTTCACAAAAACTAAAATTGCATATGATCTTTGGGCGATCACACGTTGAAAGTTACCGTCCCCGGGGACGGTGTTGGTAGATTCTAATAATTAGCTATATTTTAAGCAAATTGGTTAAAGCTACTGAGCCACTTTCGTATTGGACAGGGTTTTGTTTGCATATGCGTGTGTCAGACGTGAGTGCGTGCGTACGTGCATTTGTTTGTCTGTATATATTTTGTTCTATTTTGTAAAGTGTGCGTGTGTATGTTGTGTGTCTGTGTGTGCGCGCGTATACAGACTGGAGTCGTAGAGGTCTTCGAGCGTGGCCCAGGCGGGGCGCTGGTGCGCGGCGGGCAGTGCGCGTGGCGCCGCCAGCGTGGCGCAGCGCTCGTCGCGCGCCGCGCGCAGCCACGCCACCACACGTGCACCGCCCGCCAGCACGCGTGCGCCTACCACGTGCCGCGCCGCCTGCGCGCACACCCGTACATACACATACACTCATCGAACTGCTCATAAATCATTATTCTTATTATATAATACACATTAATTAAGTATTTGGCTACGGCGTAGTAGGCCACAAAATCAATCCCGTCATCATCTAAGATAAAGTAAATCGAACGACGCCGGGCCGCTTCGAACGTTGGTGGACAACTTATTGAATATAGTTTTTAGAAATGCAGAGGATTCGGAACGTGCGAAAAGCTTAACGTATGTAAATACACCATTAGTTATACCTCACCACTCTAGTCAATCTAATAAATGTTGAGTGCTCCTATTATTAATTCTGTGCGAGTGAAGAACTAAGGCCCAGTTTACATTTTGAGAGGTGACAAGTGCGAGTGGCAAGTGCAACTGATAAATAACAAGTGCTTAGTGCTTGTGACTTGTGAAAGTGACAAGTAATAATTGGGAATAAACTATATATGTATATAATAATTTGTCACTTCTCACTTGTGACTTCGCACTTGGCGCTCGCACCCATCACTTCTCAAAATGTAAGCCGGGCCAAAAACGGGTAAAGCCCGGTTTACATTTTGAGAAGTGACAAGCGCGAGTGACAACTGACAAGTAACAAATGACTGTTCACACGCACTATGTACTTGTCATTTGTCAGGTGCACTTGCCACTCGCACTTGTCACTTCTCAAAATGTAAACGGGGCCTAACTTACACGGTATATAGGTCATTTTATTTCCCGCCTTCACTTTAACTATAGTCACTTATAAATATTAAATTGAAAGCGTAATCCTTATGCAAAAGTATGTCAGTAATGATAATTCAGATCGTAGAAAAAACTTTTACGACATTCACCACGACTTGTCAATTATTACCTTTATAGGTAAAAAGAGGTGTTCAGCAAATAAATGTTTTACAAAACCAATCGATATTATGACTATATTTCCAACATTTCCACAACCAATAAATTTAGGCGTCATCTCCTAGATGTATCCAGTGAATTAAGTAATAGAATACTTATGACTCGTAATGATATCGATGAGTGATATTCAGTGGAAATATTTTTTCATCTTTATAAAATAAGGGTGACAAACGAGCATACTGTAAACCTGATGTTAAGTGGATGCAGTAGCTATAGACATCTACATTTATCCTGTATTAGGATTCAAAATGCATATGTGTTGTCAAGTTGGAATGCCTCGTTTTCTGTAAAAAGTCCGGTTCTCTATACTAACCATACGAAACACAGTAGCATTGGGCTGCTATTTTACGCTGATATTCTGTGAGAGCGTGGTCCTACCCCTGTCTAGCCGATCCATTCGTACTACAATAATAATACAGTTGCAGCGTGGCTCTACCACGATAAATACAACAAACAATAACAACAACAAACAATTTACGAAATTACCTTATCTTTAAAAACGTATCATAATCGAACGTTATTCCGTTTCGCAATCAAGCAATACATTAATTTCACACAAGTTTTTGTTAAGTTAAGGGTAATAGTTCATCATCATAATCATCATTACAGTCTATCAAAGTTAATTGATTAACTTAGAAGTAGGGTAGGTTGACTTAAAGTAACAAGCACAAATGCTCATTAGTAAATTTGTACAAACCGTAAGTTCGGTGATGGTGTTTATATCGGCAAGGAAGCCGGATGGCAATTGAACCGTAAGCAGGGCCAACCCACTTTCCGTATCATTTTGTTGTGCTACGAACCTGTGAATAAGCTACACATTATAATTAGTTCACTCATGGGTTATATCTAGTAAACACAAAATAAATATAAATTAAATGCATTATACCGAGTCTAATTTAGAAATTGGTTGCTATTTTATATATACTTATTTTGTAAAGAGTTAGGGCGTAAAAGATGGTTCGTTGTGAGACATGTCAGCCGCCGTCTCGTTGGTGATACCGCGCGAGTTGTGTGTTGTGTAACGTTCGTAACCGATATAAATGGAGAGCTGCAAGCGGTGCTCGGTAGACACGCGGTCGACGCGCGGGTCTAGCGTGTAGCGCGGCCAGGCCGCCGTCGCGTTGGTGATACCGCACGAGTTGTGTATTGTGTAACGTTCGCACCCGATATAAATGGAGAGCTGCAAGCGGTGCTCGGTGGACACGCAGTCGACGCGCGGGTCGAGCGTGTAGCGCGGCCAGGCCGCCGTCACGTTGGTGATACCGCGCGAGTTGTGTGTTGTGTAACGTTCGTACCCGATACAAATGGAGAGCTGCAAGCGGTGCTCGGCGGACACGCGGTCGACGCGTGGGTTGAGCGTGTAGCGCGGCTAGGCCGCCGTCACGTTGGTGATACCGTGCGAGTTGTGTGTTGTGTAACGTTCGTACCCGATACAAATGGAGAGCTGCAAGCGGTGCTCGGCAGACACGCGGTCGACGCGCGGGTCGAGCGTGTAGCGCAGCCAGGCCGCCGTCACGTTGGTGATACCGCGCGAGTTGTGTGTTGTGTAACGTTCGTACCCGATACAAATGGAGAGCTGCAAGCGGTGCTCGGTGGACACGCAGTCGACGCGCGGGTCGAGCCTGTAGCGCGGCCAGGCCGCCGTCACGTTGGTGATACCGTACGAGTTGTGTGTTGTGTAACGTTCGTACCCGATACAAATGGAGAGCTGCAAGCGGTGCTCGGCGGGCACGCAGTCGACGCACGGGTCGAGCCTGTAGCGCGGCCAGGCCGCCGTCACGTTGGTGATACCGCGTGAGTTGTGTGTTGTGTAACGTTCGTACCCGATACAAATGGAGAGCTGCAAGCGGTGCTCGGCGGACACGCGGTCGACGCGCGGGTCGAGCGAATAGCGCGGGCAGGCCGCCGTCACGTTGGTGATACCGTGCGAGTTGTGTGTTGTGTAACGTTCGTACCCGATACAAATGGAGAGCTGCAAGCGGTGCTCAGTGGACACGCGGTCGACGCGCGGGTCGAGCGTGTAGCGCGGCCAGGCCGCCGTCACGTTGGTGATACCGTGCGAGTTGTGTGTTGTGTAACGTTCGTACCCGATACAAATGGAGAGCTGCAAGCGGTGCTCGGTGGACACGCGGTCGACGCGCGGGTCGAGCGTGTAGCGCGGCCAAGCCGCCGTCACGTTGGTGACGCCCTGCGCCCACAGCCCCACTAGGGCTATGCCGCGTCCTTCTGTTTTAGCACTTGCCCATTTTGCATTTCGTACCTACAAATAGTTACTAAAGTTTCTAAATTCAATATTAAACTTTTCACAGCATTCGTAATTGAAATTAACAATATCAACTTACAAGTTGAGTTTGAACGATGAGCGCGTTGTCGTCGTCGATGTTGAATTGCCTCGGTTCTTCGATGCTGCTTACGTTGACAGATACTCGTAACTTATTCGATGTTCTTATCGTTTCGGAGAACTGCGCCAGGGCATCCAGCTAAAAAAACGCTTATTTTATATACGTCTACTAAGTACTTATTACATATTATTAAAAACAAGTTCAGGATGAGTTACGCTGATAAATAGGTTAAAGTGTGAATATCCATCACCTTTACTGTGATGGATATTCTTGTGATAAAAATCCATCTAGTAAAACTATCTCCCATTACTGGTGACTACCTTATTTTATATAGTTTTATTCGGTTTTAAATTAAGCTATTAAGCTAGAGCCATTGGTGTTACCAGGGTTTTCCAATTATTAGAAGAATTAACATAATGGATAATATTGCATCTTCGACGTTGCTGCTCGTTGTCAAAATATTTCTGTCAATTTCGTGACTCATGTCTTATGACGACCTCACAACGAAACGGGATGTAAGGCCGATATTCAGGACAATTTAGAGATTTAAGCTCAAACTCGACAATGTCAAAATTTCAGTCTAGATGATAATCGGTCATATTACATAACGTGACGTGGTCTATTATGAGTAATAGTCTTTGTATGGAGTGTAGAGGTAAGTCTCTTGTTTAAAGAAGAGCTTTTGTTACGACAGAAGTTCATGAGTCGCAGCGCTTGTCTTTGCGAAAGTTGACATTTGCAGTTAAATTACGCCAACAATTTAAATTTTCCATGGAACTCCTTTTTAAAACAGATTATAGTCTAAATACACATACTAAGTAGTTCTTTTAACAAAAAGTACTGTTTTACACAAGTTTTGTAAGTGTGAAGTTGTAATTTAAACGTTTACTGTTTTTTTTTAAATTTGTTAGTGTTTTTGTGAGTCTTGGCTCGTCATCCTCATTTTATAAAAAACGTCCAGAAAGTCTCAGAATAACGAGTTCAAAGTAGGTGTAGTATCTGGGGAGCGGTGTGCGGCATGCGTGGTGCAGTGTGTGTGATGCACTGTTCGGGTAGCGATTTGCGGTTTGCGTGGGGTCCCGTGCGTCGGATGCGATGCTGTGGGTGCGGTGTGCGCGTGCACGGTTTTGTGTGTGCAGTGTGCGGTGTGCGTGATGCAAAGAGGGCGGAGAGTGTATAGTACCACGTGCGGCTGCAGAGCGGCGGGGCGTGCGGCGTGCAGCAGGCGGCGCGCGACGGGCAGCGCGCGGTCGGCGCGGCGCTCGGCCAGCAGCGCGCCCAGCGCCCACCCGGCCGCCGCCGCGTCCGCGCTGTTGCCGCGCACCCACGGATTGCGCTGCTCCGCGATGCCCAGCGCGCGCGACCACCATATGCCCGCCTCTGACAAACATTTCTTTCTTGTCGACATTTCTATGCATTCAAACTAAACGGTTCGCTTAGTCATTACATTAAACGTATAGCCGCAATAAATTGTGTTGTATTATTTATTTATCTTATTCGAAACACCAACAGCTTTTATACATTTAACTTATTACAAAAATTTTGATATACGTAACTATTAAAAAGTATTCGCATATGACCACAGACCACGTTCATCTAGATACTAATATTATAAAGAGGAAAGATTTTTTTGTTTGTTTGTTTTCTTGTACGGAATAAGCTTCGAAACTACTGGACCGATTTTAACCATTTTTTACCAATAAAAAGATAAATTATCACAAAGTAACATAGATTATAATTTATTTTCAAAAAAAAAATAGAGATCCTTAAAGCAATTAGAAATAATGTAACCCAAAATAGCAAAATGTTGCGTATAAAATTCGTTATTTAGCGTGCGCTGAGAAAACTATAAAAATTATATACTACGTGATTAACGTACTCATTATCACATACAAAATAGTCCGCGAAGGAATATAATAGGTAACTATCATAGTCAAGTCACAATAGTAGTCACAACATAAAATGTTATAAAATTTAATTAGATCGCCGTTAGAAACAAACGTTGGTTACATTCGTAACTTAGTATTAGTTCTTATTCAAATGAATAGTTTTATCATCAATAGTATTTATGTAACAGTAAAATAATTTATCGAACATTTAATTTCGATGTTACAGCGAATGTAAAAATGTAATACACGAACCGTTTGACTCCACGCCGCCGCAAGGTTCTCTATTCCATACTAGAGTATTTTCACTGGCAAATAGCTGATGTTACATGGAGTAACTTAGGCTACTTTTACTTTAGAATAATTAAGGTTGCGCACAAAAAATTAAAACCCATGAAATTCAATCGTCACAAATTATTACACGCGGGCGTAGTCGCGAAGAACAATTAGTTATATCATATGGTTCCTAAACAACCGAGCTTCTGCTGTGCAACTTGTTTAAATAAACACCAAGTAAATATTATTGAAATACATAATTTAATCCAAGCCGCATAAACTTTATTTGCGTTATGAGGTCGAAAAAGCCACATTCGTGACTTCTCGCTGTTGCGGCAGACAAAACCGCGCTCTTTCACTCGTGCGGGGGGCTACTATGTTCACATTTCTTTAGGTACAACGGAGACAAATATATATTATAGCTTCTTTCGAGAAGTCTATGCCAATGGCATACTTAATTAGCCATGAGGTCGAAAGGGCCGCATACGCACTGAAATTAAATTAATCACGTTCAGTGCGTATTGAGGTATAAAGTGTTTCATAGTTATAGGCCTAGCCTAGGCTAGAAGCTAGATTTAGCCTAAGTTAATATCTATGTTTATACCCCTAAAATATAAAACAGCAATTATCATTGTTGGACTGTATATAAGAAGTTTTTTTTTACATATTTTTTGAGGCCGTAAAGGTCTCATACGCACTGAAAAGAGGTTCAATATTGTCTTGAAAAGACCTCATCCGCACTGGCTGGAAGTCCGTCAAAAATGGTGTCGCTGCGAACGTATTAAATACATATATACAAGAATCATTTACCTACTAAAAGTATTACAAAATAAAAGAAAATACCATGAAAAGTGGTTTTAATTGGAAACTCTCACTCCCTCTCGTTTCAATATTAATTCCTAATCAGTGATTCTAAAAGAATTAAAAAAGAAACAAATCGTATGACAAACAGTATCTTTCAACACATCACACATTTTGAGCACATCTAGTTATAAGATACCCATACTGGCAATGAGATTGGTACATCTAATACGGCGATCGACAATTTCCTTGCGATGGCAATGAGGAGAGGTTCATGTCCAGAGAGGATTCAATGATACCTATCTAAAGAAAAATATTACTTTATGATAATGTTTTGGAACTGACGTATAATTATTTATATTCATGTAGCAAATAATATACTCACCGGTAGAATTAACATATTTGTCCATCATCTGCAAGGCCCGTGAAGCCTGCGGGTGGCGAACTGCTGCAAGAGCATAAGCTATTACGGCCAGGGCGTAAGGCTCCAAGTCGGGAGAAAGACCCCGTGCTATGTAGTCCACCGCCTTGTTTATCTCGTCTTTGTACAGAACGTCGCTTCCCTGTATATTACATATTCATTTTGTCATTTCTAACGTCATAGTAACCAGTTTACGAGTTAACTTAGCGCTACGTTTCTATAGAAGTTACTACATAATACATACTTGCTAGAGCTTGGGGTTCGTGACAGTAAAAATTGCCGATTGAATTACCAAAATTGACACTTTAATTACCGAACACCAATTACAACTTAAAATACGTTAATAATAAAACACAATTGTACTACTGATCACTTTAGTTCGCAGTTATATCGCTAAGTATTCGCTTGATCGCCAATTCAATACTGCCTCGGTCGCGGTTCTTACCGGCCCTTAATATAGGAGCTCGTCTACTGAAACATTTAGTGTTCAAGTACATATCGGTCCCGACTGACTACGTGTAGAAAGTTCTAGTATGGAATTTTCTGGAAAGGTATTGACTCTCCTAGTTCTGCTACTCGATACTAAATGGCATTAGTGGTAACTCGCCACGTACCAGGCATTAATTATGGCGCGTAACAATGCCCCCTCCTAAGACATGCTCGTCTTGAACATTATCGGACCCATAATAACGCGTCAGTTGATCCACATGGGCGATATTAGGAGGACCTCTTGCACCTTTCTGTATCCGGTTGATTATGTCATTGATCCTTGTCACGATCCGGTACGGTCCGTCCCATTTAGCTTGAAGCTTAGGAGATTTCCCTTTGCTGCGGACTGGATTGTGCAACCACACTAGTGAACCTTCGTTAAACCGTTTGTTGTTCATTTTGCGATCACACCGGGATTTCATCTTTTCAGACATTTGTGGCCCGATTGTCTTACGTGCTCATAAATGTCATTCATTTTGTTCCGCAAGTCGTTTTTAAAATCGGTCATACTGCGTGGTATTCCAGTGATCAGGTCTGCAGGCATCCGCAATTCTCTTCCAAAGCTTGCGAAAGCTGATGTCACCGATGTACTTTCGTGAATCGCTTCGCTATGACAACAAAAACGGTTCTATGTGCTTGTCCCAATCTCTTTTCCGAATTTTCACCACTTTTGCTAGGTACCTCTCCAATGTCTAATTAAACCGTTCTACCCTTCCATCAGATTGTGGGTGGTAAAAAGTTGTTCTTGTTTTATGAGTATCCATAACTCGGCAAGTTTTCTGGAATATTTGAGGCTCAAAATTCCTTCCTTAATCGCTGTGAATCTCCAAAGGTACTGCAAAACGACAGAAGACTTCATGAACTAGTTTATCTGCAACTGTTGAAGCTTCTTGATTTGGAATGGAGAAGACTTCTGGCCACTTAGTGAAGAATCCATCACAACCATGAAATATTTGTTATCACTTTCACTTTCTGGTAACGGTCCCGCAACGTCAAGGGCTATCTTCTTCCATGGTGTACAAACATTGTACAATTTCGATGCACCTCTACTACGAGTCTGAGGTCCCTTCACAGCTGAACAACTTGTACATTTGCAACACCAATCCTCGACATCGTCACGACAGTGGACCCAGTAAAACCGTTCTCGAATCCTCAGTAAAAATCATTTAACTCCATGATGGCCTCCTGAACAACCAAGGTATAGCTGTAGAACATTCGGTACTTTAGCTTTAGGGACAACCATTTGTAAATGACAGCTGTCTGTCTACCCGATTATTTTCCCATTTAACAGCACAGAACTCCATCCTGAATGAGCAAGCCTGTCCCATTGGGCCAAATAGTTTTTCATGGTCAAACTCATCGCTAAATCGTTGCTCCACTTGGGCTTGTGAGCACTGGCGTTCATTCATTCTAGAATAGGCTTGATGTCCGAATCTTCCTGCTGTGTATGTTGTAAGTTATCCTTTCACTCGTTGCTGAGGTGGTGTGTTCTGAGCATCCTCACAGATACCACTTCCTTACCCTCTTGCCTAGTATAATTATTGCAATCTTCAGTACAAGGTCTTCTTGACAATGCAGAATTAGCCTGCTGGTGCTGGGTGGTGCTGTTAGCCGCACTACCCTCTCTAGATCGATTACTTCCCTTTCTACAGTTCGCTTAGGACAGCTGGATCGAAGATGGGCCCTTTTCCCACAGCCGTAGCACCTAGGGCTGTATCTTTTATTGCGGTCGCGAACTATAGCTGCTGCAACCTCCCTGACGCGATGGAAACGATGATCCTGCCGCACGGTTTCCATCTCCAGTGCATGGGCCAAGGCGTCCTTAAGCGTCTTATGGTGCTCGAGCCTCACAGCAGCTCTGATTTCAAGGTCGGATGCCTTCACTTATGTACTAGGTTCCCTGCAATGAGTAGCAGGTACAGATCGGTATGCTTTTCGAAACAGCTTCTCCATCTCAAGGGCCCACTGCTGCAGGTTTTCGTTGCTGCGTACCATGCGATATTTAAAGTCTGTTGCGTTTAACGCCGCGCAAGAAAGACGTGTTCCTGTTCCAATGCCTCAAGGAGTTATTGTAAGTCACTTCAGTGGTAAATGAGAAAAGTGACTTTCAATAAGTATTGTTTATAATCTACATTGAATAAAAAGTTTCTTTTCTGTTTCTGTTTCTTCCTTACCGAGAGCTTCTAGAACAGTAAAGACTTAGTCGCGCAGGCCTAGGGTGAGAGCAGTCATGGCCTGACTTTTATTCCAGCCATTCGCCTTCATGACAGCCTCAAACTGGATTTCGTAGAGCGACCAGGAAGAAGTTCTGTCGAAGGACACTTTAAATCGACGTAGCGAAGGTGTTATAGCTATCACGGGAACTGTAATTCCAATCCCCAATTTTGAGATCTTCTAGCGTTTTCTTCTTATCAGCCATCACGTTGTCAACTCGATTGTTTACTTGGTCGATTCTGGTTTCAGCTTCCGACAGGCGGTTGCCATGTTGAACAACACTATCCTTCACCTTTCTTATCTCTTTCCCGAAGGTCCTTCATGAGGAGCATCTGATTTTCCTGAACGCGCTGCAGCAGCTCTTCCAACCGACGGGCTTGTACCTCCTGTCAGCGAGCCTGCTCCTGCCGCATCATCATCAGAGCATCTATGTCAGGTGCCACGGATGAATGGAATGGAAAAAAATGGAAAACGGCCTCCATGGTCGGCAGCTGGCCCTCCGACGTCTGCGGCGTTAACAAATCCAAATCGTCTCTGGTCCGTCCCCTGCTGGCGTTGAATCGGCATTGTTTAATCCCACTTCTGACACCAACTGCTACGAGCTTGGTGTTCGTGACAGTAAAAAGTGCCGATTGAATTACCAAAATTGACACTTTAATTACCAAACACCAATTACAACTTTAAACATACTAATAATAAAACACAATTGTATTACTAATCGCTTTAGTTCGCAGTTATATCGCTTCGAAGTATTCACTTCATTGCCAATTAAATACTGCCTTAGTCGCGGTTCTTACCGGCCTTACATACTTAAAACATCTAGTGTTCGAGTACATCCGGTCCCGACTAACTAGGTGTAGAAAGTTCTAGTATGGAGTTTTCTGGAAAGATCTTGACTCTCCTAAGTCTGCTACTCGATACTAGATGGCGCTAGTGGTAACTTGCCATGCACCAGGTATTAATTATGGCGCGCAACAATAGTTAATTTTATATATTGCCCTACAATATCTTTATATACCTAAAGGTATATTAAAATCATGGTGTGTCTGTCAATATTCGTGTAACAAACGCCTTTACCAATTGAGGTGATATTTTTAAAATTTAGTTATTTTGTTGAGATGGTGGTTTGTAGTAATACTGTGGTCGGATAGTTTGTCTATTCGCGTACGAGCAACGTAGAAAGATGGCCGACAGTGATAAGGATTTCGGTATCATTTATTTGTTGTATATAGAATATTTGAAGTACGAATTGTGAAAGGAAAAAATAAAGAAGAAAAAAAACAAAGAAAATATTTTCTTGAAAGCAAAAATTGCAGCTACGTTTTACTGCGACATGTATCATACAAACATTCAATATAATTAATACAAGTACCTAATACAAACTCAGCTGGTCGTGAACAAAGACTTTTATATATTAGTATGCATATACCCACAACCCACAACCAATAACTTCTGTGTATACACTTTGTTAACGTGATTTGAAGTTTATTTCAGATGTATGTAACATTATTTCGTATTTGCCTAAAATAGTAAATGGCGTACATGAAAATATAACCGTCATCTTGCATGGTACATCAGAACAGAAACTGTGTCACAGGTGTGGATCGCGCGGATGCCATATTTATTTATTTATTTGCTACTTAGTATGTATGTTACATGATATACTATTAAATACTATGCATACACACTAAGTCTCTACTGGAGACATGCAAATTTATTTATTCTTAGAAATTATATTTATACAAAATTAACACATCAAAATCAATCATTATTAAATCATTAAATTAGCAACAACAAACAATCCATCCAATTATATTCTAAAGATATCAAAAGTACCAAAAAAAAATTATAATTAACAAATAAAGTAAATTAAATTAAACAATATTATATACCTTGTCAGTTAATAACAAAAAAAATGTCAATTTTGAGCTATAGTCCTATAAAAGTTTTCATCAGTAATTTAAAAGCTCGTTTACGGAGTAAAATGTTTTTTGAAGAAGCCACTGGTATAATTTTTTTTGAAATGTTTTTATAGGAAGATCTTTTATTATGTTTGGTATTTTATTATATATTGTTTTACCCATCCAGTAACAATTTTTACTAAAGCGTTTACTTTTCGGTATTTCGCTAATTACTATCCGATCTGGGTATCTCGTGTTCATGGATACCACTTCTTTGTTAAGTTTATAAAAACTTTTCCCGTGTTGTTTTACAAATTTAGCAACTTCTAATATATATAAACAAGGCACGGGTAAGATTCCCAGTGTCGTAAATAGAGGTCGACATGAAACATCTGGGCCCACACCATGAATGGCACGAACACATTTTTTTTGTGCAATAAAAACTTTATTAATCTCTGCACTGTTGCCCCAAATTATAATTCCGTAGCGGATAATCGACTCAATATATGCAAAATAAGTCATAATTGCAGTTTGTTTTGTTGCCACTTTTGTTAGTCTATAAAGCGCACATGTGAACCTGTTTATTTTATTACATATTTTACAAACTTGTTCTTTCCACTTTAATTCTTTGTCAATAATTATACCTAGGAATGTCATATTAGTTGCACTACAAAGAGTTTGTCCATTATAATTAATATTTATTAAATTATTATTTATATTATTGAAATTTATATATTGAGTTTTACTTAAGTTTATTGTTAAATTATTATTACTTAGCCATTTAGTTACGTCAAATATTGTTTGATTAATGTCAAAATTATGTTTTGTTAGTGTCATATTTTTATTTGTTGTGACTATTACTGCGACGTCATCTGCGAATAAAATACTTCTATATTTAGTAATTTCAGATAAGTCGTTTAAGTATATCAAAAATAAAAGTGGACCTAGTACACTACCCTGAGGTACCCCAAACGCATTTTTTCTAAATTTGGATCTATAACTTTGACTTACATGTCTATTGTCAAGTTTTAGCACCTCAACACATTGATGCCTGTTTTGTATGAATGACTTAATCCAGTGATATGCTTGGCCTCTAATTCCGTTTTGATCTAATTTGAACAAAAGCTGATCGTGTGATACGAAGTCAAAAGCTTTTGACATGTCAAAGAAGATGGCCATAGTAAATAGTCCGTCGTTAGTATTTTGTAAAATATTTTTTATTAAATTAAAAGCGGCCAGTGTCGTGGATTTTGATTTTTGAAATCCATACTGAGTTGGATTTATTCTATTAAACTTATTTAGGAAAGTCATGACCTTCTTGTGCATGACCTTTTCAAAAATTTTTGATAATATAGGTACCAATGTCACTGGACGGTAATTTTCCATTAGTGTTTTTTCTTCTTTTTTTATATAATGGTTTTACAATAGACGTTTTTAATTTTTCTGGAAAGGTGCCAGATTCCATTGATAAATTAACTAAATAGGCTAATACTTTACTAATTTGATTTTTGCACGCTTTGATAACATTTGTACATATGCCATCATAACCTTCTGAATTTGTATTATTTAATGTCATTATAATTTTACTTATATCATATTCATCGACCGGTGTTAAATAAATTGAATTTTGAAGTCTATTTTGTGTATTACTGTATATAATTTTATTATTTATTTTATTTGTCAAATTAATATAGTAATTATTAAAGGCTTCAGCTATTTTCATAGGTTTAGTTATTATAAAGTTATTGTGTTTAATTAAGTCAATGTGTTTATCTGCTGCTATATGCCCTAGTTCATTCTTAATAATTTTCCAAGTTGATTTTACAATATTTTCACTATTGAGTATAAACTTATTATTACTATGTTTTTTTTTGCGTAATTGATGCATCTTCTTAGAAGCCTTGTGTAATTGTTATATGCAACTTTATTCTGATTTGTTTTATTAATGTAATATTTGTAACGTAATATTTTTTTCGTAGAACAACTTTTTTTAATACCTTTTGATATCCATTTTATATGTGGTCTAATGTTAGATTTAATTTTTATTACCGGAAAGCAAAGTTTATAAAACAGTTGAAACAGTTCATAAAATTTATTGAAAGCTAGATTTAGGTCAGTTTCCAAAAACACTTCAGAAAACGATAAACTTTCTAAATAAGACTGAAACTTATTAATGTTTTCTTGAGAATAACTTCTTTTGAAAGAGAAAACAATTTTTGGTAGGACCTTCTTTTTGCTTACGGTAAACCTTAACATTTGAGCAGTTTCGTGATCCGATAACGAAAGTGGAAGAATTTTCGCAGTGGCATTTGGTATGTTACTAATAACGTGATCAATACAGGACTGTCCTCTAGTAGGTCTTGTAATATGCAGATGAAAATTAAATGTTTTAATAATATCTGTAAATGTAGTCGTAACATTATCATTTACTAGTGTATTAATGTTTATATCCCCGGCTATTACAATTTTTTTTTTTTTTTGAATATTTATAATTACATTTATACAACAACAATTCAAGTTTTTGAAAAAAACAATCACAATGTCGTTTTATTTTAGTCGGTGTTCGATATAAACATATAATTAATATATTGCTATGGGGAATTAACACAGAACAACATTCAAAATGGAACGAGACAGCCAAGTCATCAAAACAAGTTATCTTTTTAAAAGGCATTCCTCTTTTAACCATAATACAAGATCCACCTCGTTTTTTGTTCCGTGAAAAATACGACGCTATTTCATAGTTTTTAATTATCATATTCTTTTCTTCTCCAGATTTTACAAAAGTTTCTGTAAAACAAAGGACATCTGGATTTATTTGATCCTTAAGCTCTGAAAGTGTAATTTCGATTATTTCCTTTTTAGACAACAGACCTTGAATATTTTGATGCAATATATTAAAGCCGTTGGCAGTCTTAGGAACGAAAAAAAGTTGCATTATTTAGCGTGGGCGTCGATGTAGTTTGTAACATTTTATTCCTATTGGGAAAATAATAGGGTATAGTTCCTTTTTTAGCGGCCTTCATATTATCAGAGCATATTAAGCTCGATTGCAATGTATGTGTTGTCTTGTCAATATGTGTTACGTTTGCTGCCTTGAAATAATAAGGGATAGTGCCTTTTTTCTTAGGCAATTTACGTTGTGATATTTTCTGTGCATCATTAGCGTTTTTTTGTAATAGTTTTATGTGTCGCATTGTATTTTTAAATTTAAGAAACTGTAGATTATATTCATTTATATCTATATTAAAGTTGATTTTTTTTGCAAATATAATTTAAATAGAATTTCATATTTACATTACGATATTTCATATATATAAAAGTACAATTTTTTAAATATTTAGACCATAAATAAAATTTATTATTTAATTTATATACATTAAGATATGGATTATAATTAACGGGCATAATATAAACAGTGACTTTCTTCAAAATGTTGAGAATGGAACAAAAATTAAAATGTAATAATTCAGGATTTTTATCATTACCCCCTACACCTAATACAACAATATCATTATCGGATAAATTATTAACCATATTATTACAATAGTGTAGAATTTCACTACTAGTTGCATTGCTCATTATATATGCCGAGGGATTGTATTTATCATTCCATTTTCCAAGTCTTGTTTTAATTAAAGCTGCCGATAGGCTCAGCAATTGCTCATCACCTATTATGTGTATAGATTGACTTCGCTGCAAATTTTTAGTACCTTCTTTTTTGTTTGTATCTGACGTATCACTACGAGAATTATTACACATTACTAATTCATTAAATCTTGGTAGTGAATTTTCTCTGTAAAGATTGCTATTGTCTTTACTAGATGGCGTTGTTTGATATTTACATTGTTCTTGTTGTTTAGTAGGGCTTTTCGTTTCAATTAAAGAGAAATCCAATTTACTTTTATTTATATTCTTCTTTTTTTTACATGTGGAGCTCTTTGGAATTAAATTTTTTAGGTGAGGAGTGGGCTTGCATAATTGGTTTAGTTTATTAATTTTTAATTCATATTCCGAAATTTTATTTTTTAGGGCAAAATTTTCTGATAAAATATTCTCAATTTCATTTTCTGCTATTTCTAATTTCTCTGTAAGATAACCTATTTTCTTCTCTAATTCTTCTATCTTTTCCGGGTTAACAGAACCTAGTTCTGGGCAACTTCTATTTAATTCACACGTTTCTAGTAGTGACGAATACTACGAATAATACGAGCAAGAGGCTCGTCCGATGACAGAGAGTCGAAAGAATTCTTCACAGGTATATTAATCCGATATTTATTTCTGATTGTTATGTTATTTGATAACATAACAATCAGAAATAAATATCGGATTAATATACCTGTGAAGTAATATTTTTAGTATCAACCGTCATTAAATAAAATCTTTTATTTGAAACATTTGTACAATCCAAATGGAAATGCTCCTTACAGCTAGAACAGGTTAAGTATTGTTAATCAGATATAACAATTTTACATTTAAAACATACATTCATTTTGCGTATTTCTGGTTTTATCTTTCAAGATTAATATAATTTGTACATATTACTTTAATGCCACTCTATAAATAAGCGTCCTCTGTTGGCCAAACGTCTGATAACGTTTGTGATAATCGAATAAACATAAGCGTAGTTTTAACATTTGCCATAAGATGGAACTATTTTTTAATTTTTTTTTTGTTTTTTATTTTCAATAATTATCATAATACTAAAATAAACACCCAAGTATCTTGAAATTTGAGTTAGTATAAAAGAATAATCGTTCTTTAGTTACAGTGATTGTTCGTTTTGTCCACTAAAGAAATAATAATTAAATATTTTTTGAATAAACTATGTAACGGTCTTTTATATTTTTGAAATTATAAGCTCAATTAATGGTTACTTTCCTGCAAATTCTTATATTATCCACTTAGTTTTTTGATAAAAAACAGTTTTCGTTCACTTTATCACACATTTTGATATTTCTTTTGTTATTAAACACTTCAACGTTAGTTCCATACAAAATTTAAATTAACAATGTTCACACTTAACACTTCAACTGGATAAAGTTTGTAGTCTTTAGTTACATGATTATGAACTCACTTAACTAAGAAATAACAAAAATTGTTTACATTTAATATTTTTTTAAAACTTATAATTTACGGAGCCTATGTTGATGTGCCAATCTTGTCTGTGATAAGTATGTTATATACAATGTGACGCCCGTGTAATCTTATACTGTGACATAGTTTTTGGCCTGAATTGGATTACAGTAGTCTATCTAATCCTCCATTCGACTACTGTGTCGTGAAAAATAACACAATCATTTTGAGCTTACTGGAATGGTTAATGGTAGTATAAGTAATGTCCATAGCGTTACTATAATTCTTCTTTTATATATTTAGATTTAATAATTATCATGCCATGTGGCGCGCCATGAAGCGTTTTACTGCGGTAAGGTATGTCTGTAGGTAGTCGTAGTTGCGCTCTCGTACCTTGTTGTCGAGCAGCGCGATGAGCGCGTGCGCGGCGAGCGGCAGCGGCGCCTGCGCGTGCGGGTGGTTGCGCACGGCGCGCGGTGGCGCATCCCACGAGCCGTCGGGGCGCTGCGTGCGCGCCAGCCACGCGGCCGCGCGCGCGCCCGCAGGCGCCGCTGCTACGTGCCGCGCGCACCGCCCCGCCCAGCGCCCCGACTCCGCCGTCATGCTGCACCACACGATATCATTGCCACACAACCACACCTTTATTTATAACACGGACTGACTACTGCAATCCATGGAAGGCTATAGATGCGTTGATACCTATGAGGACTAAAGTAGAATACCACACAGTCGGTAATTGTACTGGCTCTCTATACCTTTCCCCACAAAGTAAATAATAGAGCCACGTATTTTCACACCGAAAATCAGTGAAAATCAGCAGTGTTATAGGTCGCGTCACGGTTTAATAGCGCTGACCTTGAATGCGCAGAAGTAGATTATACGCACTGGTATTTAGACGCAGATAAGAGGGTGATGTCAAACCAGACGGAATCCTGGGCAGAAAGAACGGCTACCTAGTACCAACATAACAACATCCTATGATTAAGTAGTTAGTTACGTCAAGTCAGACAAAAAGAAACAAAAAAAATCGGTGTAGACATTAAATGTAAAGAACATTTACATTCAATGTCTACACCGGTTTTTTTTGTTTTTCATTAGCTGTTAACAGTCCATTTTTGGAATTGTGCTTCCCTCATTGCAGGAAGGATCTGCTATAATCAACACATTTAGTGAATTATCTATCGCACTACCGAATATCTCGCACCTTTAACGCTACCCCTCACCCCCTACCTTCATCACTAGTCTCGATATTTTACGTTTGGCGAAAACTGAATGAATATACCGCATCATTTTTCTGAAACTACAAATTTATTTACAATTTACCACAGTCGTCTCTTACGGCATCCACAGTACGAAATGGAGTGATGGAACATCTTGTGCCGCTACCAAAAACACCTAAATAAACAAATAAAAACAACAAAGACCTGTAACCGGTAGAACCATAACAAAAAACAACAAAATAATTACCAATATATTACCAATAATAGATCTCTTACTAATTACAAAGCTATGAACGGATATGGATCTAACAGGAGTTCCTTCATTGTGTTTGCGGAAGCTCAAGGTCGCTCAGCGAGTAATGAAGAATGGTAAGCTCGGAGTTTTTCTGTATTATAATAGGCTTCGTAATGCGAATATCCACAGTAGAACCAAAATAACTGATAATATAGCCGCTGTGCTAACAATAAGCTGAAGTGGAAATAGGCCGTCCATATAACTTGAAGAACCAAACGAAGAAGAAAATTTCTCAAGAGGCAAGCAAAGTAGCCTCGTACTGGAAAGCAAAGTGTAGGGCGGTGCCCCGCTATATGGAGTGACGACCAGGTAAAATAGGCAGGAAGTCTATGGATACACTGCACCGTGCTTTATGACATTCCTTGGATATTCTTCCTTATTTATATTTACGTTATTTAGGGTTTTTCATCATACAAATTTGTAGAAAATTATGAGAAATAGTACTTACTATACGTCGCCCTCAGCTTCCGGGTCCATTTCCTGTGCAAAAGAGCCGTCAGGTCGGCGGAACGCCATCAGTCGCTGGTAGCCGGCCGCGGCTTGCGCACGCAGCTCATTACTTATCGACACTTCATCTTGATTCGTTGCCTGCAGAGGAAAACATTTTTAACAGCATTATTATCCGACTTTGTTGAGTGCTTAAAAACTTAAAAAATGTGAATTTATTTATTTGCTAAATATGTATATTTTTTTGTTATTTCCTTTTTCCTTAGGTAGTAGTGCTTCGTTGGTCTAGTGGTTGTAGTAGTGCGACTGCTGATCATGAGGTCCTGGGTTCGAATCCCGGGTCGGGCCAAAAAATTAATTATTGAGTTTTTCCGTCAAGAAATTCTCAGTAGTTGCCCGGAGTCAGGAAGTTGGCGGTGTCTCACCCCCGTGTCTCGGAAAGCGCGTAAAGTCGTTGGTCCTGCACCTGATCTCTCTCCGGTCGTGTCAGTTTACCGTCCCATCGGATAATGAGAGTGAGGGAATAGAGAGTGCACCTGTGCTTGCGCATACACTTGGGCACTATAATCCTGTTCTGCGCCGATGGCTGGCCTCCCCGTTGAGGCAGGCCGCCGTGGCCGAAATTTGGTCTGGAGTTATAAGTGCTTCGTTAGTATTTTTTTCTGTAAACCATTGTTTAAATAACAGCCCACAGATGGATATAGGTCTCTTCAGTTGTATAATACATTAACTACTAATCATCACGCTTGGTTGGTTTGGATTAATTACCTAGGGTCACGTCAACGCTGTTTCCGTTACCGGTCTGAGATCTTTTTGGTCTTTCCCATTGCCACCTCTTACGACACTCACAAAACGAATGGGATGATGGATTCTCCTACGCCGCCACCAGACGGTTATTGTTTAATTTATTGATATAAAACGAAGTATAATTTTTTTATTGTTGTTTTATAAAGAGAAAGCATAGCATTGGGTGTGTGTTTGTACTGCTGGCTGTCGGCGGCAGCAGAAAAGGCGGGCTGTGACTTACTTGCAGGCAGCCGAGCATGCTAGGTGGCGGCGGCCGGGGCAGCTGGTTGTGGGTGCGACTCACCTGCAGGTAGTCAAGCAGCAGGCAGGCAGCGGCGAGGGGGCGCAGCGCGTGCGCAGCGTCGGGCGCGGGCGCGGCGAGTCGGCGCGCGGCTTGCAGCGCCGGCGCCAGCGCGTCGCCGGTCGCCAGCAGAACGGCACCGCGCGCGCGAGTGCCCGCCGCCGCCCACGCGCTCACGTTGCCGCGAGCCGCGCCCTGCCGCGCGTCCAGCACCATCCACGACCACGACTCCTCCTCGTACCCATCCTGCAAGCCACAACAGCTCATCCTCCGGTTACCATACCACTATAAATGCTGCACTACAACTCCTTTCTCATTACCCTTCGTCATTTCTTATGTCAGCCATGGGATGATATGTGGCAGTAGTAGTTACGTTGTACCAGTTCTGGCTCACTGAGTCAGAAGTGGTACAAGTACGACGTTCATCGACTCACGATCCTAAAAAAAAGGTTTTGGCATGCTCTGATCACAAATCTGCGGTCCATTTTTGCGTAGGATGCACGGTTCCGGAGATGTGCAGATTAAATAACTCTTATCTAATTGATATCCGGTGAAGGCCTCCAACATCATTAGCGCTCCATTGTTCTTATCTATTTATCTATTGTTCATTGAATACCGTCATTATCTATTCTTCCTCAGCGTGGTGCTATTGTATTATACTCCTTTGTTCCTATTCTCACTAATCTGACTCATCAGTAAAACACATTACCTAATTTTGTTAAAATTTTTATAATGATTTCTTATATTTACGCGAACACTATACATGATTAAAACTACTTTTACGGATTTTATCGCGTTTATTTTTACTTTTTATTTACTTTTATTTTTAATTTCCGTGGTAGCTACCACCTACTTGGGATCCTATAATCAATAAAATTAAAACTAAACCCAAGCATACCACTGCAAGACCTCAGGACATAGTCAGTTCATTTTGCATAGATCGGACCATAAACAATAATTAAAAAATCTGAAGGTACTCCGGGTTTAACAATGACATCGGGACGTCAGTCATCTCAGTCCCCCGCGACCATGGGTGCTGGAAAGCGCCCGAAACGTCGGGAATTAAAAATAAAAGTAAATAAAAAGTAAAAATAAACGCGATAAAATCCGTAAAAGTAGTTTTAATCATTAAAATTTTTATTTACAAAATACAAAATCTTATTACTTATTATCTATAAAATAGGAGCGAAACATCTCATCCACTAAAATATCGTTGTACAATGTGTTCCCTGTAAATAAACTCGTAAAACTATGCATTGAACATCCCTGAAACTTATATAGCAAATACATTAAGCAATATTCGCCACAAACTGAAGTCCACTCATTCTGAATCCTATCAACATTCCAGTTCCATCTTTTACAATTCCTTTTTAAAAACTCTAGATGATATCGTAAAGGTGCTCGTCCTTATGAATCAAAATATTGACCGACGTCATTCGTATCGATATATAAAGTTACCCAATGTGACCCTGGTTTATCATCTGTATCCAAATTGCATATTATATACGTTGGTACGTGGTTGTACATGGGCATTCTATTGGCAGCATAAACATTATTTTCTAGACTGGGGTGAATCTTTTTCAGATGTTGTTGTACATCTAGTGTATCCATGATATTACTGCTATTAGTAGATTATTACAGTACAATCTACTCAATGACTAACATAGGAATGATCAATTATAGTGATTTCTAAATATTAAATTGCATTATTTTGTGTTATACAAAACGTATTTGAATCATCAATACACTGAACAAGACGCAACAGGAAGTAATGCTGAGATAAGCAACAGAATGTGAGATAAGCTTGTTGACGCATAAAGTTACTATCAATTCCACTGCAGAAATTCTTTAGATTAGAATTATTACTTACTGGTACTATATAAGACCGCACAACTGCAGTCATGGAGTTAGTGTATGGTCGTTTGAACGCAGTGGATCCATCAATACAACATTTGTGTTACTTCAACGCATCAAAGGCCATGGATGTAAGTGTTTATTCTATTGACAAAGTTACTTTTCTTTCTGTTATTTTCTTACGTGTGTATGATTTAGTGTTAACAAATTATATTTAAATATTGTGTGTGTATATGATTAAGCCGTGGTAGCTCAGATGGTTAGCGCAAGCTGTAAATTTCACAGTACGCGACCCGGGTTCGATCCCCGCCGACACCTATTAAATTTTTAATTGCAATTTTAACTGTTTATTCTATTGACAAACTTACTATTCTTTATGTTATTTTCTTACCTGTGTATGATTTAGTGTTAATCATAAATTTTGTTTGATTTCCCAAAAATATTAGTTATAGTACTCGCATGCAAAGTTGGTTCAACAGGAAAACAATTTTTAAAAATGTTAACGACGAATGATAGAATTTTTAATATTTAATAATACAAATGTCCAAAATACAATGATTTGGTAAATGTCAAAAATTTAAACAAACGTTATGTGTGTAATAATCATATATTTGCAAAAAAATAATCACAAAATTGTCTTCCTGTAATTTAAGTAAACATAATTACATTCACTAATGATCAACTGATGACTGTTATTGTTAAAAAAGAATTTTTTAACTTTTTCATTTTCTGCTATTGTCTTTGTATTTATGGTTAGGAAATGTCCGCGGCGCAGCCTTAATGCGTGTTGGCGAACTTCACATGCCTTCGAAATTTTCTCAGACTGCCGGCGGGGATCAAACCCGGGTCGCGTACTGTGAAATTTACAGCTTGCGCTAACCATCTGAGCTACCACGGCTTAATCATATACACACAATATTTAAATATAATTTGTTAACACTAAATCATACACACGTAAGAAAATAACAGAAAGAAAAGTAACTTTGTCAATAGAATAAACACTTAAAATTGCAATTAACAATTTAATAGGTGTCGGCGGGGATCGAACCCGGGTCGCGTACTGTGAAATTTACAGCTTGCGCTAACCATCTGAGCTACCACGGCTTAATCATATACACACACAATATTTAAATATAATTTGTTAACACTAAATCATACACACGTAAGAAAATAACAGAAAGAAAAGTAACTTTGGCAATAGAATATACACTTAAAATTGCAATTAACAATTTAATTGGTGCCGGCGGGGATCGAACCCGGGTCGCGTATTGTGAAATTTACAGCTTGCGCTAACTATCTGAGCTACCACGGCTTAATCATATACACACACAATATTTAAATATAATTTGTTAACACTAAATCACAAACTAAATCACACGTAAGAAAATAACAGAAAGAAAAGTAACTTTGTCAGTAGAATAAACACTTATATCCATGGCCTTTGATGCGTTGAAGTAACACAAATGTAGTATTGATGGATCCACTGCGGTCAAACGACCATACATTAACTCCATGACTGCAGTTGAGCGGTCTTATATAGTACCAGTAAGTAATAATTCTAATCTAAAGAATTTCTGCAGTGGAATTGATAGTACGAACTTTATGCGTCAACAAGCTTATTTCACATTCTGTTGCTTATCTCAGCATTACTTTCGTGTTGCGTCTTGTGCAGTGTATTGATGACTCAAATACGATTTGTATAACACAAAATAATGCAATTTAATATTTAGAAATCACTATAATTGATCAATCCTATGCTAGTCATTGAGTAGATTGGTACTGTAATAATCTACTAATAGCAGTAATATCATGGATACACTAGATGTACAGCAACATCTGAAAAAGATTCACCCCAGTCTAGAAAATAATGTTTATGCTGCCAATAGAATGCCCATGTAAAACCACGTACCAACGTATATAATATGCAATTTGGATACAGATGATAAACCAGGGTCACATTGGGTAACTTTATATATCGATACGAATGACGTCGGTCAATATTTTGATTCATAAGGACGAGCACCTGTACGATATCATCTAGAGTTTTTAAAAAGGAATTGTAAAAGATGGAACTGGAATGTTGATAGGATTCAGAATGAGTGGACTTCAGTTTGTGGCGAATATTGCTTAATGTATTTGCTATATAAGTTTCAGGAATGTTCAATGCATAGTTTTACGAGTATATTTACAGGGAACACATTGTACAACGATATTTTAGTGGATGAGATGTTTCGCTCCTATTTTATAGATAATAAGTAATAAGATTTTGTATTTTGTAAATAAAATTTTTAACAAAATTAGGTAATGTGTTTTATTGATGAGTCAGATTAGTGTAGATAGGAACAAAGGAGTATAATACAATAGCACCACGCTGAGGAAGAATAGATAATGACGGTATTCAATGAACAATAGATAAATAGATAAGAACAATGGAGCGCTAATGACGGTGGAGGCCTTCACCGGATATCAATTAGTAAGAGTTAATTGATCTGCACATCTCCGGAACCGTGTATCCTACGCAAAAATGGACCGTAGATTCGTGATCACAGCATGCCAAAACTTTTTTTTAGGATCGTGAGTCGACAAACGTCGTACTTGTACCACTTCGGACTCAGTGAGCCAGAACTTGTACAACGTAACTACTGGCAGTGTATTCTCATACGCAGCAAGTCTATTCGTTAACTTTGTTCACATGTAAAGATGGTCACTTTGTTATCATCCTGTGGGATGTGTTGTAAAAGGCGACAGAGAGAAATGAAATAGGATGATGGACATGAGGTCATTCTCCTGATAACCACACATATTAATAAAAATACTGTGGCTACTAACCCTCCCGGCATGCGTGGCAACTATGGCAAATATGCTCTTTTTAAAGCAACTATGGCTCTATGACCTTTTAACTGATCGATATTGCTTACACCATCTTACATGACTACCTCCTTGACTCAAGCTTTTACTTCGTGTCAAAGAGCTTAGCGTTTCACTATTTAACACTTTATATCACTTTACAGCCGACTCTCGCATTTATCCGCGCCATTGAGACGCATCCGTTAAGTTATTGTTCTATAACTTTAATATGACAAATCCAACAAAAATTCAGTGCAGGTTTTGTGTACTAAATATCACAATTAATGAAAACGCTACCGAAGTGTTTCGACATGTTAAAAATCTCAAGGTGTTACTTACTACTAACTACTCGGGATACTATTATCATGTAGCTTCCTGGATTAAGCTGTCGCCAAAATCTCCAGGAAACTTTGGAAGTGACGATTCAACATATTATTGTCAAAAAACATTATAAACATATTTATGTGATAAATTATGTCTTAACCAAAACGTTCTTTTTGAGTAAATGTCTTGTAATCATTGCAACAATAAATGAAAAATAGAACACTTTATTTTTTATTTTAAATAACTCCTAGAATTGAAATTAAAACTATTTTTAGTCAGAGTGTTTTCAAAATATGCTCTATTTTTAGGTCTACAATAATGAACAATAGTTTCGCTATCTATCCAAATGTTAGCATCATAATTATTTATTCAAATAGTTGCATGAATCAAAAATAACTGAGGCGTTTGTTTTTCAAGTATTAAAGATATTTATGATTATTTGAAATGTTTCTAAAACGAAAACGAAATACGGTTCGTTAATTTTTTTATGTATTCACTCTTGTGATGATTCCTTTAATGATAGCGCGCTTCATTTACACAAAATATTTAAAGCAGTTTATACGTCGTTTAACAACTCTCTAAACATATTATATTATATAAACGCTTAAAGTACTCCCAATACCGAGCTCGAAGCTTTATTTTCGCCCTAGCATGTAGTGTCGGAAAGTTGGTTGAACTCTTCTTTAGAAGGCTGTCTGAAGCTTTCTAAACAAGGGTTCAGCCAACTTTCTGCTAAACCTAACTACGGTAAACCATCGATTTTATATCCCGTACCTGGTTTTTTCGAATACAAAGCCGAGTAGAAGGCTTTTGTACTCGTAAGGAATAATCGTGCTTAAAAAGATGGAGTTGGTGTGATCGTCAACAGTAGGCAGCACTGTTGAAGATAGTCCTTATTTTTAACCGTAATGTACTCAACCTTACGATGCTCATACTCCAATTCATAAGACTATATTAAAGCGTCACATTGCCCTATGGATGACGGAGAGCGTAAGGTTGGCAATGTCTAGACGAAATCGTGCTTTTCTTCGTTTGGTCTTTGAAGGGCTGCTGCACTGGATTGTGGTCTTCTCTATCACTTGACGAAATTCACCACATTTCGCTTCTGTAGAAGACACTACAATTCGCTCCAAAACTATGGCTTTCATTGCTTCTGTGCAAATACCTAAAATTCCTACCTTTAATTTTTTCTTGTTTGGTCAGGATGAGAATGATGTTAAATAGTATATTGTAGCAATTCACTCCTAGGCGATGGGTTATGTTATAGTATTCTTCCGGCAGTTACCCATGTTTTAAATTTTTCCCTTGATTCAGGTCAGTACCTTAATCTTAGAAAAGGGATTTTATAAAGCACCTTTCAAAAGATCCTACTACCATTCTTTCCAATTATTTTCACCCAATATCCATTCTACCCTTTGTTTCCAAATATTTTGATGCTTTTACAAGCAAATTTCTACTCTTATTTCAAAATATAACCTACTGAGTAAATATCAAACTGGATTTCGCCCAGTTCGTAGTATCACTACTGCTTTAATTAAAGTCACAGATGATATTAGTAGGCAAGGTATGGAAAAAAAATAGTGCTGGTACTAGTTGATTTCACAAATGCTTTGAATGCAGTTAATAAAATCTTACTTTCCATATTGTCTCATCTAAATTTTGGCCCGGCATTGAAATGGTTTGCATTTTATCTTCGTAATCGACAGCAGTCAGTCTGTGTGAGTAAAATGACCTCAGCTGATGTGGAAGCTGGAGTGCCGCAAGGCGGTATTCTTGCTACTATACTTTTTTAAATTTTTATAAACTCTATTACCTTTATATTCGATTGCTCGTACCATTTGCATGCCAATGACCTTTCCCAGCGATCAAAGATTGGTCTACTCGTTATGTAGTTTTGGTCAATCCGTTGAAATTCCAAGCTATACTTGTGGGTTGCTCAAGGTATTTAAATATTATTTATATATTAATTAATCAATAATTACTCAATATATTTTAAACAATCTTGGAGTATTACCTCTTATTTATTACAACGGTATTATAATTCACTGTGTAAATGTAATTCTGTAAATATCTTAGCCACATCGACGCCACGCTTAATTAGAGAACTCAAGTTTCAAAAGTGAGTCGTTAACTCATTGCCACGTTATATTCTTTATATTGTTTCAAATATTTTCTTCCCACAAAATCGAAATTCATGCTTCTCTAATCGCTCATATTACCTAGGTATTTATTAATTATGCAAATGTGTGTTCGAATCCGGATCTGTCCCGAAATCTTCTTAAAAGTTGGAACGACTTCACAGTACAGTTAACTTATAATATTTACACATATAATATATATTTATACTTATAATATTACTTTCGGGCTTCGTAAGTATGACCATATTTGGCAATATAGATCTTAGCTTAATTAACTTATATTCCGGTAGAGGCGCAATTCCAGAATAATGGTTGTCCTTTTTCCATAATAAATGACTCACCTTCGCCTTCTTATCTTAAGGGGAAATATAACCTCAAATGGCTTAGCAAGATCCTCCGTTATGCCGAAAGTATTGCAGCATTAATTTTGGAATAAATATATGGTAAAGTTGAGGATTAATGTTAAGGTTTATGTTAGACGAAAACACGATTCCGTAAAATTTTCTCGATAGAAAAAAAATCCAAAGTTACCTCCAAACTGAACAATAAACCGCTGTTATTCATAAAATACTTTAAATAAGATCATGAAACTTTGCATACTAACTGAACTAACCATAAAGCAGTGCTTATGTTATTTACTTTTTTTTAAAATATCATTATTTTCACTGTAAAAAGAAATTACCTAAACTATCGGCGCGTAAGCTTGGTTCCTGTCGCTCCGCAGGACCAAGCTACGCGCCGATAGTTTAGGTAATTTCTTTTTTACAGTGAAAATAATGATATTTTAAAAAAATATTTATAATATTTTAAAAAAAGAAATTACCTAAACTATCGGCGCGTAAGCTTGGTTCCTGTCGCAAAAAAGTAAATAACATAAGCACTGCTTTATGGTTAGTTCAGTTAGTATGCAAAGTTTCATGATCTTATTTAAAGTATTTTATGAATAACAGCGGTTTATTGTTCAGTTTGGAGGTAACTTTGGATTTTTTTTCTATCGAGAAAATTTTACGGAATCGTGTTTTCGTCTAACATAAACCTTAACATTAATCCTCAACTTTACCATATATTTATTTCAAAATTAATGCTGCAATACTTTCGGCATAACGGAGGATCTTGCTAAGCCATTTGAGGTTATATTTCCCCTTAAGAGTAAATTTTAATGTCTCTCTTCATCTGATAACAGGATTCTACGTTCTCTTTCTAACAAGGAAATCTGTTTTCCCGTTCACTTCACCGAGCTCTATAGTAACTTCTTAACAGTTTAAGCTACACATCTTTGGAGCCCCTTGCCTAATGATATCATCTATTAAACACAACGCTTCTTACATGAATCATCCATGTCATATATGCATTTCATTTTTATTTATGTATGTATAGGTTATATTTGTGTAATTTATTTATTAGGAAATTGTATATATTTGTGCGTCTATAAAATACCGATTGGATCAAGAGTGAATGAGAAGTTCAACCACTCTAGCGGAGTGTCATATCGAAGGTGGTATGGTATTGAGGGTATATCGACAAACCCCCACTCGTTTGTGCAGTACTTATAAAGTTCACTGTAGGCGCCGTGTGCTAGAGATTCCGCTCAAGTCATTTAACGAGCCTGCACAGTGTCGTGGTTCTGTTCGTTGTAGTAATTATTCTAGGGCAGGCAACGAACATCTTGTTGTTGAGAGGCTGTTGCGTGGTACATTGAAATGGGTAGTGTTACTGTTAGTTTTCGTATTTTGGTGTTATCATGTAATTACGTCCCTCACTTTACACTAGTGTGTAATTGTAACGGGGACATATTACCATATGGGCGAACTGTAATTGCTCTATGTTGAATGTATAGTGCAGCACGCAGTTTTATTGCCGATAATGATTAAATGATTAATAATATAATCCTATACTATTACTAACGAGCAATTCTTGTATATATATATATATATATTTTTTTTTTTTATATATATATATATATATTATATAGTATCTCGGAAACGGCTCCAACGATTTTTCATAAAATTTAGTGTCCAGGGAGTTTCCGGGATAATAAATCGTCTAGCTAGGATTTATTTTTAGAAAATGTCTTTTTGTCTGTGTTTTAGGCAATGAAAAACTGCTACAATATCGTTAGAATAAGAAGGTAAATTTTAACAAATTGTTAATGATTAAAATAGCTTAATTGGTATAATGGGCGGTCAGGTAAAGCCCCGGTTCGGCCGGCTATACCTACTACAAATTCTCACCACTCCTAGTGACTCACTTGAATACATGTGAAACTTAATAAAATATCATTACATTATAGGTGCCATATTTAGTGCGGAAAGAAAATGCTTTAAAAAATGTATTAACTGATTATTGTCAAAGTAAACTTAAACTTTGTCAAAACAAACTTATTTAAAAACAGTGTTATCATGAGGTTTTTTTATACTCTTCTTTCGTTGTTAAACTTACAAACTTCTTAAAACCCCTAATACTCAATAGCTACTGCTTTCTTTTCTTAGTTGTGTCTTAGTCTTTTTCTTCAAATCAACAAATACAAGGGTAATATAAATTTATTTTAAAATCAGGAACATTACTACAATTTTGTTTTCCTTGACATCCCAATAATATATGAAATTTGAGATTGCGCGAGCGACGTGGCGCGTCAAAGAAATTGGCTTTATAGCATTTTAGGCGTATGTTAGTGTGGGTGCTGACCTGCACGTCGATGGTGCGGAAGAGCGAGGCAGAGAGCCCGCCGCCGCTCGCCTCCACGATGACGGGCGCGCTGCCCGCGCGTACAGCGCGCACCAGAAACGCCGTGCTGCGCACCGCGCCGCCCGCCACCGTCACGCGCGTGCGCCGGAACAACTCGATCTCTGCCCACAATCACCTCCGTTACTCAAACTCCAAATCCGACGCAATGATTATTCAAAATTACCTTTACTAAACACTTTTTGTAAATCAATACATTAAGAAAGTGACACGCCATATCCTTCTGCGGGAGACCTTGTGAGAAACGGCAAAGTCTCAAGTAGACTATTTGTCTAGTTAAAATTTAACCTTATAAAATATTTACATAAACAAAAAACAAGAAAGAAATGTAAGTACTTAATTACATCTACGCACTCTTATTTCCAATAAAATCATGTAATTATTAATCATTAAAGTTATATGTACCTACATAAATTTTAATGTCCCTTTTCCACAAGAATGCTTTTAACAATACGCTTTGAATAAATTGAAAGGCTAAGCAATATTATTACAGGGAATCTTGATATTTGATTGTTATACGTCTACCCAAAAATAACCCACAATTTTTATGAAGCCCGCACTTTGAAACTGCAAGCTTCGATTTGTACGAATATTTTATAGATCAGATTATTAACAACCGATGCTCTGCATATGACAAAGTTTCCATAGTTGGACAGAGTTAGGTTTGCATTGTATTGCACATGCATTTCCGTAGTCGAATCGTACGATATCGATACCCACGGAATAACATGGATCGGAGGATTTTTTTTCACACCACACGACAACGGTTGCAATTACCACCGGCACTAAGTCTCCATGCTTGACAGACTGGGAATTTCACTATCAAAGTTCCGACAAGTCAAGACAAGTCCAACATTATACCTGGAAGAGCCACGCTGCAGCTATATTATGGTTGTAGCATAAATGGGTCGGCTTGACCGGGGAAGGACCGCGCTCTCACCGAATACCAGCGTAAAATAGCAGCCTAATGCTGCCGTGTTTCGTATGGTAAGTGTAGAGAACTGAAGATCCGTAGACCTGTTTTATTGGAATCGAGGTATTCTATCTTAGTCCTCAAGGGTAACAACGCATCTGAATTTTGATTCGTAATGGAGGATAATGTAGATGTCTATGGGCCACAGCACTCACTTCCATCAGGTGGACTGTGTGCTCGTTTGTCACCCTCATCCTATAAAATAAAAAAATAAGTAGCAACAATAATGTTCAACAATAAGTTTTTACCCCACTAACATAATATAAGTACGACTGTTTATGTAAAATACTATTCGTGCGCTGCACATTCAAACACATACGACATATGAAAACGAAAAAGTGAATGTTAATTCTTAATTTTCAACTCTACTATTCTGCAGAGATCAAAATGAGGACTTATATAATGGATTTCCGCATAGTAACACCTGATTCTATTAATGAGAGACAATCAAAGTGACATCCATACTTACTAACTTGGCCCATCTTAACCCAATGGCAATCCGCTACACTTAGCATTGACCATAAATAAATGGAATACACATTTAACTTTTTGCTTAACCAATTACCGTGTAGTTTGGCGTAGTTATAGTTATTGCTTATTCTACACAATAAACATTTGAAATAATGTAGTTTATTTTATATATCTTTCATTTTCATTTGCTTCTACCAACCAGTGGATAGATACATAGATTTGCATAGATTGCTTATTCACACCAAAGTTGAGTTTAAGATTTATTTATTTTTTATAATATACTTATACATCATCAGGTTAAAATCAATTTGATAATATCATACTAATTAATACACACTAGTTTTATACGTTCCTCAAAAATCAAAATCACTTACTTTTCGTTGAATCAACGTTATTCTCCAAAGGTTCGAATTCGAAATACTGATCGGAGTTGTGGAAGGTAACTTCAACCGTTACGTCCTGTGATAGCGAGTTTTTCAGGATAATGACGGCTGCTAGCATTTCTCCACGTTGCAAAGTTTCCGGCAGCTCGGCAGTTATGGACAGCGGTACGCTTGTTGTGAATGTTTGAGGAGCAGCCAGACCCAACCCCAGGGTTGGGTGCACTGAGAATGCTCCGATTGTCCATTCGCCTGGTGCCATTGGTGACCACACTTCCTTTGTGCCTTTGCCATCGTTACTGTAAAATTTCAGTGATAGCACTTTTTAGATTACTGTCAGTCTACACAGCAGTCATAGACTCCAAGTCAAAGTCGAGACTTTTTATTCAATTCAGGCTTCATTAAAGCTGTTATAGCCAGTCAGTGGTCGGTTATCTAAGTAAAGACCTCAAAGAAGCCCAAACCTTTCTGGGATCGCTTTTAAAGCCATGTTAAAATTTAATTTATAATCACAACTTATAATAAAAATAAAATGTATACAATGACAAAAGTAGGACTATCAATATTTTTCATATGTCAGTGTCAACAAAATAATATACTTAGTAAGAGTTAATTCCAAACATCATTGCTCTCGATAATCGATATATTGATTTAGATCAACGAAAATCGAACAGCAACAATCGAAATCAAAATAAATTCTACTGTATTAGTACTGTAGAATTTATTTTGATTTCAATTGTTGCACTATATTTCTGGAAATGTTATTGTAAAATGTGATGAATTTACTCCAAAATATTTTATTGTTAAAGCCAATCCAAACTTTGGAACCAATAGCAAATCTCTGCGACCCGTTCTACAGTAGAAAGTCGGTTTTTAATTAAACTAATATATTATACAGAATAAGTAAAGACTCTGACGCTGACCGCTAAGTGATGGGCGAACCTAAATAGCGGCATTATTTGTGACGGGGTTAGTGCATGCAATCGAGGGAGGGTGGCAGGTGCTCTTTAGACTGGGCGGGGGCACATCATTTTATTTTATTACTTTCCGCAAAGTAACGCCTGATTCTATTTAAAATTATTTTGATTTTAAGAGATGTCGTTCGACAAATGATGCCGGTGTCGAGTTGATAAAACGTAGGTATTTTATGTGTATAGAAACATTCAGAAAAAGCTTTGGGTATATTTTGGGATCTTTTCAAGCATTTCGACAGGAAGCTACATCAATATGGTGTAAAAAGCATAGCACTTAAAGTTATTACATCATATTTAAATAAAAGAACGCAAACAGTTACGATTAATGGTAGTAGTCTCTCTGGATCGATAGTATCTATAGGTGTTCCTTAGGGCTCAAATCTTGGCCACTTCCTGTTTTCTCTACTTAGTATAAAACAAAACCGCTTCTCACCTTAATATTGTAATGAGTATACTTAGATATTTTCAAGTGGGCAACGGATTTTGATGCGATTTCCATCAATAAACAGAATTATTCAAGAAAAAGGCTAATATAAGATGTCGAAATCCAAAAATCGCCCCTGCGAAGCTGGGGTGGATCGCTAGTAGTTTATATTTATAACTTATTTTACTTGGTAGAGAATAACCACTATACTGGGTGGTCTAAAAGGTGACGTCCAAAAAACAAAAATTTTTTGGAATGCTGACCTTTCGGGCTACATGAAAATACCCCATGTATGTTCCGCGATTTTTCTTAGTTTACGAGATATGATTTTTTTTGTATTATTTTGAAAAATGTCGACTTAGCGATCCAAAATTTTTTTTTCTTCTTAAATTCTTAGCGTAGTCTTCATGAGTTGGACTCTTTGACATAAAAAATAAGCTGCCTACCATTAATAAAAATTGCAAAAATTTTAATCGAAAACAAATTATGCAGATATGATTGAATCAAAGTTTAATTTTGAAATTTAAACTAAAAATTAAATAATGAGTTCCATGACTTTAAAGTAATTTTAAAAACTTTGCAAGACCCTAAGCTTTAATTATAATCTAAAAAAGTGGTGGTCAATGGGCCTTGTTTAGCCGTAATCAGCCTTTAATTGCACAGAGGCGAAAATTTTCAACATTATTATTTAAACACCTTATTTCTAAAAATAATTATGTTCGCCATAGAATCTAATCTAATGAAATAAAATAAAATGAAATGTAAATCTTCGGGTTAGGGATAGTACCACTTCAGTAAGTAGCACAGATGGGTCACAAAAAACAACGAATTTCCCCTCAATGTTAATGAGATAATGAATAATAATAGTAATAGGCAGGTAGACGGTTGCAGATCACAAAAAATACCACGTGTCGAACAAAGGAAGCAGGAGTGAGAAATACTGTGTCGTGTGTAGCGCGCTCTCTCGCTCTGGCCATAGCTCGCGCGCATAAGGCGACAGGCGTAGCCTCAGTCATAGAGTGCCTCAGTTGTTCACAGCTATCGCTCGCGTAACTACTACTCCAGTTTTTGTTTTCGATACTTCCTAATTTACCACGACTGCTTGCTAACTGGATTCTGTTTCGCCTTATAACTGATTTGACTGTGCTTGTGTTTCGAACTTTGATTGATTACCTTGTGATTTGGATTTTTGTGTTGCAAAATGAGTTATTCTTTGAAGGAATATGCAGAAATGCATTATTTTTACGGCGTTGCTCAAGGCAATGGCCATTTAGCGGCAAGGCTTTACCGAGAGAAACTAGAACAGCGAGGAGAAGAACGGGAACTTTATCCCAATCACAGAGTGTTCATAAATACATTTAATACATTTATGGACGGACGGAATTCCGGGACGCAGTTCCCACGAAGGAGTACCCAGAGTGGATCCAGATGTCAGAGATGAAGTCGTGGAACAAGTGCAAAGATATCCTTTTACTAGCACCAGAGCTATTACGAGAACGACTGGTGTACCACGAACCTCAGTTATAAGGATACTTAAGTCAGTTAAGTTCATTTTGTCTTTAAAACTTTTACTTTGACACCGTATTAAAGCGCACCTTTGAATAGCGACGAGCGATCAATTAATTTTAATTACTTATGTCGGGCAAAAACCACATTTCATGGAATAAAAACAGTGATTCCTGGAAGTACAATTTCGTTTTTTTTTTCAGAGGGATACCACGCTTATCATATTCAACGCGTCCAAAAATTGCATCCTGCAGATTATTCAACACGGGTGACTTTTTGTCGAACAATGCTGGAAAGAACCGCGGAGGATCCAGGTTTTTTTGATAAAATTCTGTGGACAGACGAGTCTAGATTTGAAAGAACAGGAGTCTTCAATATCCACAATTACCATAGTTGGGCTGTTGAAAACCCACACAAGGCAAGGCCTTCAAATTTTCAAACACATTATAGTGTAAACTTGTGGTCTGGAATTTTGAACGAGGAACTTATAGGACCTTTTGAATTGCCTGCTAGGTTAAACGGTGCCCAATATTTAGACTTTTTACAAAACAATTTAAACGGCTTATTAGGCGATGTAAACTTATTGACAAGAAGGGATATGATTTACTAAAATGATGGTGCTCCTTGCCACTATGTAAGACCTCTCTTACGGGAGCACCTTAATCAAAGATTCCCCAATAGATGGATTGGGCGTGGCGGACCGATTCATTGGCCTGCACCAGATTTGAACCCCATAGATTTCTTTCTCTGGGGATATTACAAAGAGATGGTGTACGCAAGCGAAACAAACACCGAAGCAGAACTGAGAGATAAATTAACGGAGGCGGAAACAAAATACAGACAAAATTCAAATGCTTTTAGAAGACTGAAACAAAATTTTCTAAGGCGTTGTAGACTGTGTATTGAAGTGGAGGGGGGCTACTTTGAGAATTGGTTGTAAAATAAAATAAGTATTAAAAAACCAAATTGTTTTATTTATTATGAAAGATTATGACATACCATGAAAATCTAATTATATTAATAGGTGCATAATAAAACGATTATTTTTTAACTTTTTGGCTCTGTGCAATTAAAGGCCGACTAGGGTTAAAAAAGGCCCATTGACCACCACTTTTTTTGTATTATAACTAAAGCTTAGGGTCTTGCGAAGTTTTTAAAATTACTTTAAAGTCATGGAACTCATTATTTAATTTTTAGTTTAAATTTCAAAATTAAACTTTGATTCAATCATATCTGCATAATTTGTTTTCGATTAAAATTTTTGCAATTTGTATTAATAGTAGGCAGCTTATTTTTTTTATGTCAAAGAGTCCAAGTCATGAAGACTACGCTAAGAATAAAAAAAGTAGAAAAGAGAGCAGAATTTTCAAGAAAAAAACTTTTTGAATCGCTAAGTCGACATTTTTCAAAATAATACAAAAAAAATCATATCTCGTAAACTAAGAAAAATCGCGGAACATAAATGGGGTATTTTCAAGTAGCCCGAAAGGTCAGTATTCCAAAAAATTTTTGGACGTCACCTTTTTGACCATCCTGTATAGTTTTATTTGCTGATGATTCTTCGTTGATTTTCTAACTTAAAAGACAATTTATTAAAATTTGGCGAAGTGAATAATGCTATATCAAAAGTATAATACTGATTTAACGTTAAAAATTTGCTTTTGAACCGTAATAAATTCACCTCACCTAATGTTAAACAAGTGAAAACCAGTATGAGAACCAGCAAGAAAGATAACTCGCTGATTCTTCCTAGGACAGAGGTTTTTTGAACCAGATATAAAGCTTAAATGATTAACAAGTATTCTTGTAACCTATATTGAATAAAAATGATTCCATTCTATTATATTCACTCGTATAAGAACACCGGTTCCTACCAATGATGATTCGTGAAGCTATTGAAATTAAAAAAAATTATCCTAATTTCAATAGAGGAATTAGCTGGGTGCTACCATCTTATCTATTAAATCCAAACCCATAAGTATTACTGGGAGTTCAAGGTTCAAGTTTGTTCTGGGTAGAAGTGACCAATAATTAATACTTAAAAGTTAAAGAATGATGATCTCTATGCCAAAGAGATCTATAAGCTAAAGGTAACTTCGTAAACTATGATATCAGGACGTTATAGTGCTTAGTCTCCCGTGACCGTGAATGCTGCGAAGCGCCCAAAATGTCGGGAAATAAAAGTTTAAATTAAAAAATAAAAAATACGAAAACAAACTACTTTTTCTCTTGTCAAAGTAACTTGCTGTTTTAAGAAGTGTGAGAGCCACGAAAAGTGAAACGAATACGGCGAT